GCCATTTGCATTTCTATAAGTAAATACCAACACAGTATTTGGGGTGTCTCCTGGATGCTGCAGGAGCAATCTGCTTCCTTCAGGGGGTCTGTGGGTTCTCTTGGGTTTCATAATTTATTTCTGTAGTCGTTCTGGAGCAAGAATTCATGATGCGAGCCTCCACATGCTGCTCTGTTTGTCCAAGTCGGAGCTACAATCTAGTTCTTACTTCCATTTGCCATGATCCTGAGTTTTCCTTTTAGCTTAGTAATTTTGGGAGCCCAAGATATTTTCCTTTCACATTCACCTAGCACAGCTCTATTGATGACAACGGGGTTGTGAGCTCTCTCCTTCAAAAATCAGGAAGCGCTGGGTCCAGAGCTGGATTCCCAGGGTCTTCCCGCAGCAGAAATCAAATGAAGACAGTGAACTTCTGGGACTCAGAAGAGCAGATCCCTTAGAGGTGAGGAGCAGTATTTGTTCTAAGGCTTGTTCTTTCTGACGTCTTATAGTGTGTGGGATTGTAGGGAAGCCCAGCTTCCTGACAAACCAGTTGGAGCCTCAGAAGACTCCAAGGCAGATTAGTAATAACCAGTCCCTGCCATCTTCAGTGAAGCTGGGGTGAGAGCAGACAGGTTCCTTCAGCTGTGTGAAAACTTGGTTCTGTAGGGAGCACATAAAAGGGCTGGCAAGAACTGCTGCAGTTAGAGGACAGTAATGTCAATTAGAAATGGAATTCCACCTGATGCTTTCTGAGTTGGCCTTCAACTGCTAGCTTTCTGATTTCTACCCACCCCTCTCCCTCCTCCTGTTTTCTCTACTGCTGCAAAAGGACAGTTTGCTTAAGGTTCTTGATACAAGGTGCAGGAAAATAAATGGTCATGAGGAAGGCAGCCTGAGAACTCCTTCCCTATCATTTGCAGCTACTTAATCTGCAGAAAGCGTGGACCCAGGTCTTGTCCCACCTTCTGGAATTAAATTCTTCCTATTCGTAGGCCCTTTCTGTCCTTCTTTGCCCCACATCCTCTGTTCCCTTTTCCCAAATTCACTCATGCACATGGAAAGAAAATGCTAAATGCTTCCCATTTAAATGCTGTAGAGAAAGAAATCTGTTTTGCATTTCCCGTGTGCCAGGCACTGTGTTATGCATTTTCCACATATTTAATTTCAACCATATAATTGTCCTATGAAGTGGGTATCTTGTTCCCATTTTTCACAGAACCAAATTTGCCATCAATAGGCTCAGGGAGAGTACCTGGTATCCCAGCAGCCGCGTGGCCTCATTCTACAGTTAAGCAAGACTTCGGTACATTCTTTAGAATTTAGTTAGTAACTCTTTCAAATACAAATGGTGTTTTTCAGTGAATAACTACATTGTGTTAGGTCTGACTGGAGAAAAAGAAAGGGCTCTAGTAAAATGATATCTAATTTCATAGTGACTTTTGCCAAGATTGTGGCAGGAAGAGGTGGCACTGTCTCACTGAGGTATCTGCAGTACAAAGTGGCATTGACCTCATTTTTACTCTTAAAACAGGTGCAACTTGCTGTGAACAGCCTGGGCTGTTCTTATCTCTATGGTTTGCCCTGTTAGATTTGTGCTGAGCCTGGCTTGGAACTCCAGAATTCAGAGGAAATAGGAAATTATTCAAACCAAACTTAAAAAGTTAGAAAATCAGTCTTATGTGAAAAGGGGAATAGAATTGGGATTTTCACTTTGGGGGAAGACAGAGGTGACCTAATAGTGCCTTTTAGGTACCTGAAGTCTCAATATGTGACAAGTGGTGATTAGGAATAAGAATAGGATTCAGCTATTCGTATCCTCAGCAGGGACAAGGACAGCAATCTCATTCCTGGATATATACCCAAAGGAAAATAATTTGTTCTACAAAAAAGACACATGCACTTGTATGTTCATCGAAGCACTATTCACAATAACAAAGACATGGCATCAACTATTAACAGTAGACTCGGCAGAAAAAGTGTGGTCCATATAAAGCAGGGAATACTATGTATCCATAAAAAGAATGAAATAATGTCCTCTGCAGCAGAATAGATGCAGGTGGAGGCCATTATCCTAAGCTAACTGACACAGGAACAGAAAACCAGATGCTGCATGTTCTCGCTTATAAGTGAAAGCTAAACACTGAGACATGGACACAAAGATAAGAACAATAAGCCCTGGGGCCTACCAGAGGGGGAAAGGTGGAAGGGAGGTGAGGGTTGAACTGACACAAGAACAGAAAGCCAAACACCGCATGTTCTCACTCATAGGTGGGTGTTGAACAACGAGAACTTGTGTACTCAGAGAGAGGAGCATCACACACAGGGGACAGTTGAGGGGGGATAGGGGAGAGACATCGGGTGGTGGGAAGGGAGGGGAGGGTGGGGAGGGATAACATGGGGAGAAATGCCAGATATAGGATGCACCTAAAGTAAAATAAATAAAAGAAAAAAGAAAAAGAAAGAAAAACTATTGGGTACTGTACTCACTACCTGGGTGATGGGATCATTTGTACACCAGACCTCCGTGATGTGCAATTTACCCATGTAACAAACCTGCACGTGTACCCGCTGAACCTAAAATACGTGTTGAAAAAAAATTACAGGAGAGCAGGTTGCAGTATTAAGGAGTGGCCAGGAGAGGCAATGTTTAGAAAGCGATTTAAAACACCCTTCCATACCCAAATGCACAGCCACCCCTAGCCCCACCCCTCCCTCACCCCTCACACATTTATTATCTCACAATGTATGTGGGTCAGGAATCCAGGCACTGCTTAGCTGTGTTTTCTGCTTAGGGTCTCCCTAGGCTACAGCCAAGGTGTTGGCCAGACTGCATTCTCCTCTAGAGACTTGACTGAGGAATCTGACTCAGAGCTCACTTGGGCTGTCAGCAGAATCCATTTTTTTTTTGTAGCAGTAGGACTGAGGGCCTTGACTTCTTGCCAGAGGTTGGCTAGAGGCTGTCTAGGGTTCCTTGAAGTAGCCTAATGGTCCTTGCCAGGTGAGCTTTCCCCATATGGCCACTTACTTCAAGTAAACAAGGAGAGGCTCTAGAGCAAGTCTGCAAGCAAGAGAGTCTTAAAATTTAACAATCACAGGAGTGATGTTCCATTACCTTTGCCATATTCTGTTGGTTAGAAGCAAGTCACAAGGCCTGCTCGTACCCAAAGAGAGGGAGTTATACAAGGGCACAAACACCAAGAAGAGGGTTATGGGGAGCCACATTGTAGTTTGTGAACCACACTATCTTTTACTTTTTTTTTGAAGAGATGGGATGGAAAGGGAAGCAAATAAACATGACAGTTACCAATGCAGGAAGATTTGTTTCTAGGTTCAGCTTCACAGCATTTATGGCCTTCCAAGCTGACCTGAGGCCGTGAAAGCATCCTAGCCCAGTAGCCTCCATGCAGCTGAGCTCCTTACTCACGCTTTGCGTTTGGCAGTTTGCATTGCCACTTGCTATGTCATTTTTGTTTTTCCTTTCATCTTTTGTTTAAATAAACTTTATTAAGTATGCAAGATGAGTTTTAACATGTGTATACCAGTGTATAACAAATACCACGCAATCAAGATTAAAATACTTCCATCACCCCAAAAACGTTTCCATATGTCCTACAGGTGCCACATGTTCCAAACTTTTCATACCTCTGGCTGCAGAAAACCATCGATCTGCCTTCTGTTGATAGATTAGTTTTGTCTATTCTAGAATTTCATTGAAAGTGAATCATAAAGTATAGACTATAGTATCTGGCTCCTTCACTTAGAATAATGATTTTGAGTTTCATCCATGTTATTTGTATCAGCAGTACATTCATTTTTATTGCTGAGTGGTATTCCATTGTATGAATATAATACAATTTGTTTATTCATACATTTGTTGATGAATGTATGAGTTGTGTTCAGTGACAAGGTATTATGGATGAAGCTGCTGTGAATATTCATGTACAAATCTTTGTTTTATTTCTTTTGGGTAAATGTCCAGTAGTGGAACTGTTAGGTCATATAATAAGCATGTATAGATTAAATATCTCTTATCCGAAAGGCTTAAACCAGAGTGTTTCAGATTTGTTCTGATTTTGGAATATTTGTATATATATAGTGAGATATCTTGGGGATGAGGCCCAATATAAAATTTGGGTCCCAAAACATAAAATTTTTTTATGTCTTATGTACACCTTACATACAAGCCCGAATGTCATTTTACTTTTCTCTCAGGGACGCTGAATAAACTGTGTGTTGTGTGCCTGCATTTTTACTGCAACCCTTCATGAGGTCAAGTATGGAATTTTCCACTTGTGGCGTCATGTTAATCCTCAAAAAGTTTTGGATTTTGGAACATGCTAGATTTTGAATTTTTAGATTAGGGATGCCCAATCTGTATTTCTGCCCAACTATTTTCTAAATAGATACTGCCTAACTATTTTCCAAATAGAAAATAATTTTTAAATAGCAACTTGAAGGAGATGATGAAGTTAGCCAAATAGAGAACTGAGGGAAGAATATTCTGGGTAAAGAAACATCAGGAAAGCTGGTGGCTGATGCAGCATGATCAAGAGTAAGCACGCTGGAAGATGAGGCTCCACAGGAAGTAGGGCTGGCGCAGAAGTCCTTGTAGTTAATTATAAAGACTTCAGCTTTTATTCAGAGTGACATGGGAGCCCATTGAAGGGTTTTGAGAAGAGGAGGATTCTAACAAATGCTTGTTCTGTCTGACTGTTAAAATGATAAACCTGGTTACAGTATTGTAAATAGGGCATAGGAGAACAAAAGTAAGCACCAGGAGGACTCTTAGGAAGACACTGCAGAAATGTATGTAGGGACTGATGGTGATTAGACTTAGGTAATAGCGATGCATGTGGGAACAAATGGTGAAGGTGGCAGATCTAAAAGGATTTGCCGATGGACTGGATGTGGAATGGGAGAGGAAGAAAGGAATCAAGAAAGACTCCAGGCTTTTGGCATAAGCAACTGGAAGGATGGGGTTGGCATAACTGAAATAGGGAAGGGTATGCACGGCGCAGATTTGAAGGTGGAGCGTAGGGGTTCAATTTTGAACATTTGATGTGTAATTTATTTGCTAGACAATTTATGTGCCAATATTAAGTAAGCAGTTGAATTCATAAGTCTGAAGTTCGGGAAATAGGGTTGGACTACAGACATAAATTTGGAAGTTATCAGCAAGTAGATTTTTAAATATTAAATTTAAATAGTTAGAGCCATGAAACTATAGGAGATCACCAAAGAAGTTGGAGTTAGAGCTTCCCAGGTAGAAGAGAAAAGGACCAGAGACTAAGCCCTATATCACTCCAGCAATAGTTTGGAGAAAATAGGAAGAATCAGCAAAGGAGATAGAGAAGGTACAAACCAGTGAAGTAGGAGAAAAAGTCCAGAATCCTGGAAGCCAAATGAAGAATGTATAGAGTGGAAGAGGGCAGGATCCACCTTTCAAATGCCACTGAGAGCTTGAGTAATATGATGATTAAATATCGACCTTTGGATTTAACAACATGGATGTCATTAGTGATCTTGATTAGAGTAATTCTGGTGTGTGGTGGAGACAAAAGCCTGACTGCAGTGGGTTTAAGAAACAATGTGAGGTGAATTGGAGTCAGTGAGTATGAATAATTACTTTGAGTTTTGTTTCAAAGGAGAGCAAAGGAATGGGGCAAACCTGATAAGGGTGTGAGATCCATAGGGGATTTCTAGGAAGACATATGAACAATAGCATGTTCACATGCCAATAGAATTTTCCATTAGATAGTGAAATATTGACAAAGAGAAGAAGGGGAAACCTTCTGGGTGTTGCCTATTTAAGGGGAATAGGACTTAATATGTAAGTGGAAGGTTCGGCTTTAGGTAGCATGGATAGATGATCTATAGTCATAAGTGGAAAGACAGAGAATATAATCCTCGATGCTGTAGATGGATTGATATGTGGTAAGAGACTGTCAGTGTTTTCTTCTGCTTGTTTTAATATTCTTATTGAGGTATGAAGCCAGCTTTATTCCCCTACATGTGTTTTCAAATATATTTCTAGAATGAGTTACTCTTCCTCATGTGTACTAATTCTTGCTGACATATCCTTGTTCACACCTGGAATACCTGTATCTTTTCAGTCCGTAACCCTAATTACTTCTCAGAGTCCAACTCCGATTCCACCAGAACATTAATGTTGATTGCTTGCAAATACCTTAGAAGTTGCAGATGAGGCTGATCTCCACAGAAAAGGTAGAGGGGGAGCCACTTTTCCATCCTTTCCTATCTCCTCCTTCCCCAACCACCTGCCCACCCAAACCCTAGGCCCAGCTGGCTTTGGAGGACTCCAGTTGAACCTTCACCTTTTACAGGGATGGAGCAGTCTCTGCAAGACAGGGGTTGGCAGAAGTAGGAAGCAAACAAATTGAGAAAAGAAACAGTAAGAAGAGGAAGTTCTTGACAGGGAGAATTGTTTTTCAAGAGGGTTATATTTTTATTCTGAACAACATCCATTTGTTTGATAAATATATCATTGTCTTCTACATGTGAGCATTGTGCTAGTGATGGGGCTACAATGGTGAGAAGGTAGAGGGAGCCCCTGACACTGAGAGTTTAACGTCTGAACGTAGTCTGAGCAGCGTCGTGACATGCTGACTCCTGTTAAGTGCAGTGCCTGTTATCATCTCTGCCCAAAGGTTTTGCTTTACTTATAATTAGTTAGAGTCATTTGGTATTTTGATGGTTGATGGATGCCAACACTGCACAAAACTCTCCAATGTTCCATGAGACCACAGGATTAACTGTGATGCAGGTCAGACTACGACTTCAAGCAATGTACTTAAAGCAAGTACATCCTTTCCTAACATAAGGCAGTGCTGTCCAATGTAAATATAAGCCACACGTGTAATTTAAAATTTTCTGATGGCCACATTTTAAAAAACAAAAAATATTATGTGAAATTAATGTTAATAATATATTTAAAACATTATCATTTCAACATGAAATCAACGTTTTAAAATTATTGATGGGATTTCACATTCTTTTGCTGTAGTTAGTCTTTGAAACCCAGTGTATGCTAAGTCTGAAATCCTCACAGCACATTTTGATTTTCACTAGTCACATCTCAAGGGTTCAGTAGCCACATGTGGCTCATGCCTGCCATCCCAGATGGCACATCTATAGAGTCTACAGGGTAAGTGCTGTCCCTGGTCCCGAGCGGAAGTAAAACTTCAGAAGAGTTGCCTGATCGTGGGATCTGGCTTCAGGACACAGCCAGGGTTCTAGGGCAGGAGTGACTGCTAGATGTTAGAACTTAGAGTTCAGTTATCGTGTGAGATTCAACGTTAGAAAAATGATCGTAGACTTTGCAGAACACCAGTGACTGGCTTTGTCCTTTTTGGAGCAAAGATCAAAGTATGTTTCAATCCAGAATTAAAAGCTGAATTTGGGGATAAGTGTTAGATTATGTTAGATGTCACAGATAATTTAAAAATATTTAGCAGGTTTCCTATGCAACAATTTATCTATAGAAAAATTAATATGGTTTTTATACTCTGAGGTAAGATGTAACTGAATTTCCATTTCTATAGCTGCTGCCCAAAGAAAGCATTTATGTGAGAAGTCAAGGAAGTAAAGGATGGTTCCCATGAGCTCCAGTTCCTAAATAGCTGAAAAAAACACATATTCTGAACATCCCTGTTAGCTCCTGTCTCCACGCAAGGTGTCCTGAGGGATTGCAGGGGCTCCAGGATTACCCCTGGCTTTTGCAGGACGCCTGTCAAGGGCTAAATTAAGCCCAGCCAGGTCTATTTGTGAACAGAGAGGCTCCAGCCAAGTGAGAGAGATTGGTTCTGCTAAGGAATGTCCTGGGGAGGGGAAAGAATCACTGAGATCATTGGTATTTATGTATATGTTTTCTCACTTGCCAGCTCAGTTGGGCCACATCAACAGAGGCCTCTGGGAGACAACCAAGATTTTAACAGAGTGACTATTGGGAATGAATAGCTCATGACACACTGAGGAGGGTTTAGTCGGAGATCAGTGTGAATACCACACTAGAGTGTATCTTGGGAACTCGGTGCTCAGAGTCTAAATAAAACTGGCCAAACACCTAATTTTCCCCCATTTGTCCTTTTTGTTTAAAAAAAAAAGATTTTATTTTATTTTATTTTTATTTTTTAATTAATTTATTTATTTTTAATGAGATAGGATCTTTCTGTGTTGCCCAGGCTGGTCTCAAACTCCTGGGCTCAGGGGATCCTCCTGCTTCAGCCTCCCAAAGTGCTAGGATTACAAGTGTGAGCCACCACACCTGGTCAGATTTCGTTTTTTAGGGCAGTTTTAACTTCACATCAAAGTTAAGCAGAAGGGTCAGAGATTTCCCATTTACTTTCTGCCCCTACATACATACCTGTGTATATACAACCTTCCCCGCTATCAAAATCCAAAGATGTCTCGTTTTTAATATATCTTTTCTTGGGTTCTTAAGCTTAGTGTTGACCAGAAATACCTCTTCTTATGATTCATGCATCTGACTACCTTTGGGAAAACTAACATTTATTGAACACCCACTGTATGTCAGGTATTTTTTTTTTTACACCTTTTCATTTATTACCCTGAAAGGTAGGGATATTAGCATCATTTAAAAAAACTAACAACTGAAGGAAATGAAACTTAGGTTAAAGTCATTTACCTCTAGAATACAGAGATGAACTATGAGAAACTGTAAAAAATAGTTGAATGTCTCCTTTTTATATGGTTCAACCTAACAGAATGTGAGAGGGCTCATGTTTAGAGTCCAGGCCAATTTAGTTCTAAAGCCTATACTTTGCACTGTACTGTACTGCTGTCCTAAAATTACTAGAATAGTACTGGATTCTTTATTTTCCCTTGGCGATGCTGTAGTTATATTTCTGCTCCCCAGAAGACTAGAACGAGAATGCTTAGAGAAAGAGCAAACCAAGGTATGGTATATCTTGAGTTAGGTCTAGGACCCTATGTTTAGAGACTAAAGCTAGGAGTTATATGATGGACCCGCATTGATTCATGTATTTGCTGCTATTTATATCTGCCACCTGTCCGAATTTCCATACAGCTATCTGATTCTGGGTTCTCTTTTGTTTGTTACATGCTACGATAATCATTGGCTTAACTATCCCCATAGGCTGTAAATTCTCTGAAGACTGTCGTTCTGTCTTGCTCTTTCTAGTACCTATTAAAGTGCTTGCACATACAAAGTAGGTGCTCACTAAATATTTGATGAAAAAACAAATGAATAAACAAATGCTACTATCCCAGCATTCCAATGAGCACTGTCTTTTTGTCTCTGTCTATACACACACGCATGCACGCACGCACGCACGCACGCACATGCCCTAGCCTCCTTAGCATTATTCCATGGCCTCAGTGCTTACTCAGACATGGATATGTGTGTTTGTCTAATCAAGGTAAGCCAGGCTGGGAAAGGATTGGTATTGCTTTGAGGCTTTTGCTAAGGACTGATATAGGTTGGGCTTGAAACATGACCTGAACAGAGCAGTTTTGCCATTTGGATATGAAGCCTTGTACTGAATAAACTAAAACTTTTCCACTTGGTTTTTTCCATCTCTTTGGAGAACAGGACTGGACACTAAAGCAGGCTCTGGCAGGAGTGTGTCCTTGTCTTGCAGAATCTTCTGGTTGCTGAGGCTGAGGACACAGCCCCACCGTCCTTTCTCTGGCAATGAAGGACACTTGTCACATGTTGGGGCGGCTTATGTTTCTAATTTGGGACTTAACTGCACTAGTAAAAGATAGCAAATACGGAATCTGTAGAAAGGCAGAGATTGTACCTCTGAATCAAGGCTTTCTTCCACTTCACATTAAAGTCTAAAAACTTAATGCTTTGCATTTGGACACCTTCTGATTGGTGGCTAGATTTCTCACATAAGCATAAAAGATGAGTAATGCAGGTGGTATTATCATTCTTATAGGCAAGAAGGAGAGGCTTTTATTCAAGTTAATTGTGTAAAAACATAAAGCTCTTGGGATGACTAGTCTAAGGCCACACAGGAAGTTAATGTCACCCAGATATCTAGACTCACTAAGGCTTCATTTTTGCTCTAAAACTTATGAATGGAGAGAAACTTTGTTTACAGAAGAATTCACTTGGAAGCTACTAAAATGTATTTCTAGGGATCCTGCAATGACCAGCCCTTTCTTTGTCTTTTGGTCAAGACAGATAGAGTCCCTTGTGAAAATGCTCAGTGCCTCTCCCTGGTTTATAGAGTTATGGACTTGGCTCATTGATATCAGAGAAACGTGGAGAAGAAATTCACTCTGCATACAAAAAGTACTTACTACACTTTTCCTAGAAGAGATAAGATTCTAAAAAAGAAAAGATTTTAAAATAAAGCCCATTCACTAATAGTTACTTTTCACTTTGGCTGAATAAATCAGGAGTTACATGAAGGGCTCCCTACAGGATTTTGAAACTCTCCCTGCCACTAAATTATTTTTTTTAATTCCTTTAGTTTACAGAATTGATTAGAGTGGGATTTGGTCTTATGGATTTTTGTCCCAAATAGACTCTTTTGTGGAAGGCCTGCTCCTCTCTTGCAAAGGTGCAGTACCCATTTCCTTCACTCACAGACCTTAATGCAACTCTGATTACATACACTGAGAGCTCCTTGAGGTCAAGGACGATGATGCCAAGAAAAGCACTTAGGTTTTGACAGTCTTTAATCTCCAATACTTTCTTGTTGACTTTATCAGTGAATGTATCCTGGCATGCTGTCAAGTTTTTTTAAAAAACACTATTTATTATTGTTATTATTTTGAGATGGAGTCTGCCCAGGCTGGAGTGCAGTGGTGTGATCTCGGCTCACTGCAACCTCCGCCTCCCGGGTTCAAGCAATTCTCCTGCCTCAGCCTCCCGAGTAGCTGGGATTTACAGGTGCCCGCCACCACGCCCAGCTAATTTTTTATTTTTAGTAGAGATGAGGTTTCACCATGTTGGCCAGGCTCATCTCGAACTCCTGACCTCAAGTGATCCACCCTCCTCGGCCTCCCAAAGTGTTGGGATTACAGGCGTGAGCCACTGCACCACTATTTTTTGAGTGTCTGTTCCTAGCCCAGCAGCAAACTGTGAGGGATATAAGCTTGCAGATGGGTTGAAATGTATACACATGAATGCACAAATGTGAAGTTAAATGCCAAAACAAAAATGTAAGTCATCTTCTACTTTGGGTGAAATGGAAAAAAAATTAAAAATAAATGTAAGTCATCAATTCAAGAGTGATAACAAAGTGTTTATTCCAGAAACTTATACTGACACTTATTGTGAACCAAGAACTTTTCTAAAACCTAAATGGGGAGGCAGACATTTTAAATAAACAATGAAAGACAGAATCGGGTGAGTGCTATAGCAGAGGTAAACATCGGATGACCTGGTATGAATCTTGGTTTATTACAGACAATCTTGATTTTTGCCTGTTGCCCAGAGATAATTATGATAGCATCTCTTTGTAGTTATCAGAAGAATCTCAGTTATTAAATTATAGTCATATAAGTTATAAATGAAGTACAGTTGAAATGAAGAGAAAATAAATTATTAGTTTTGACTGCGAGGTTGTGGAAAGGTTTATTTCAACAAAGGTTGTGGTGAGGATGTTGAGCTGAGCCTTAATGAAGAACAGGTTTCGACAGAGAAGCCATCATAGGCTGACAGCAATTCAGGAAAAGCCTTGGTGGCATCCAAGGACACTTGTGTGATTGATTTCTCTATTAGTAAAAGCCCTTGTGTTTAGTGGAGAGTAGTACCACCAGTGGCTAGCGACGTCTTGGAAATGATCTCACCATGAACTGTCATCACTCAGAACTCCAGTTATCAGAAAAAATGGCTGCTGGGTAATGACTGATGCCATCATGATCCTGTGTCAGATCAGACGGCGCAGTTCCAGCTGAGTAAGGT